AAAAAAAAAAAACAACATCATTGTCTATTCTTGGTCAAGTGTTGTCGGTTCTTGGTCTGTTCTTGGTCTGTTCTTAGTCTGTTCTTAGTTTTTTAATATTTTACCAATTTTTTTTTCTCTTTTATAAATTAAATATCTCTCCAATCTTCGTGACTAGTTTGAAGCTTTCCAAAAAAAAAAAAAAAATCATTGTCTATTATTGGTCAAGTGTTGTGAGTTCTTGGTCTGTTCTTAATATGTTCTTAGTTTTTTAATATTTTACATATTTTTTTTTCTCTTTTATAAATTAAATGTCTCTCCAATCTTCGGGACTAGTCGAAGCTTTCGAAAAAAAAAAAAATATCACTGTCTATTCTTGGTCAAGTGTTGTCAGTTCTTGGTCTGTTCTTGATTTTTTCTTTTTTTACCAAATTTTTTTTCTCTTTTATAAATTTAATGTCTTTCAAATCTTAGAGACTAGTTCGAAGCTTTAAAAAAAAAAACATCACTCTCTATATTCTTGGTCATGTGTTGTCGGTTCTTGGTCTGTTCTTGATTTTTTCTTTTTTTACCAAAATTTTTTTCTCTTTTATAAATTAAATGTCTCTAAAATCTTCGAGACTAGTTTGAAGCTTTCCAAAAAAAAAAAAACATCATTGTCTATTCTTGGTCAAGTGTTGTCGGTTCTTGGTCTGTTCTTGGTTTTTCCTTTTTTTACCAAATTTTTTTATCTTTTATAAATTAAATGTCTCTCTAATCTTCGGGACTAGTTCGAAGCTTTCCAAAAAAAAAACATCATTGTCTATTCTTGATTAAGTGTTGTCGATTCTTGGTCTGTTCTTGGTTTTTTCTTTTTTTACCAAATTTTTCTCTTTTATAAATTATAATGGTTATTCATACCCAAAAAATCAAAATATATGTAAAAATGTATGTTTTTAATGTTTTATTAGAGTTTGTTATTGGTCTGTTATTGGTCTGGTCGGTCGGTTCTTGGTTTGTTCTTGGTCTGGTGGTCGATTCTTGGTTTATTCTTAGTCTGGTCGGTCGGTTCTTGGTCTGTTCTTGGTCTGGTGGTCGCTTCTTAGTCTGTTCTTGGTCTGGTGGTCGGTTCTTGGTCTGGTGGTCAATTCTTGGTCTGTTCTTGGTTTGGTGGTCGGTTCTTGGTCTGTTCTTAATCGGTTCTTAGTTTGGTGGTCGGTTATTGGTCTGTTCTTGGTCTGGTGGTCGGTTCTTAGTCTGTACTTAGTTTGGTGGTCGGTTCTTGGTCTGGTGGTCAGTTCTTTGTCTGGTCGGAGTTCTGGAGGGTCAATCGGCGTTCGGAATGGTCAGTCGGTGTTCGTGAGGATCGGTCGGCGTTTGGGGAAGGTCGTTCAACGTTGGGGTGGTTGGTGAGAACCGGAGGAGAGAGAGAGAGGAAAGGGGGTCTGGGCATGGAAGGAAAAAGAAAAAAAAAAGGTCAGTCGGGGTGAGAGTCTGTTCAGTTTTGAGAGAAAAAAAATTAAAATGTACACATAAATTAAAATGAGGTCCATTTTTTAACACGTAAAATACACATCAATAATTTTTTATTATGAAAAAAAACGGTCTAAATCCCCAATTTTTATTTTCTTCCGTCTCTTTCATCAAAATTTCTCTTTTAGCATATGAGTAATAACACACTAACAAACAAACAATCATAAAAGAAGGCGGCGCTATCAAGGGAAAACAGTCTCCCTTCTCCAACGGTACGTTTTCCCTCTCTTGTCGCTCTGTCTTTTCAATCTCTTTCTCCTCCTCTCTCTCTCCTCCATTTCTTCTCTCTTTCTCTCTCTAGATCTCACGGCCATGAAGCACTTCATGCAGCAAAGAAACGCAATCTTGAGGGAGACGACGATAGAGTCTCCGGCCTCGTCCAACCCTAGCGCGGTCAAGCCCCAGCCGTCGCGGAAGCAGAGGGGCTCCAAGGAGAACGCGCCAAGCCCCGGCCGTCGCGGAAGCAGAAGGGCTCCAAGGAGAACGCTCCGCCGTCGGATCCGAACTCGTTGCCCCCGATTCCGGAGCACTCGCCGGCGATTTCCACCCTCTTGACCTCCACTTTCTCCCAATCCCTCGTCGGACATTAATGTCGCCGGATAATGACCGGAGTTTTCACCAGCAATCGCCGGATTCTGCTCTCTCACGTTCTCATCGGACCAGATTGAAACATTGTTGAAGGAATGATAGAAGTTTTCCCAAACAATCGCCGACATTTCTCTCTTTCTTCCTCATTAGACCAGATCCACCATTGAAGGTTTGATAGAGTTTTTCCAAAGAAATCGCTGCTAAATTCTCTCTCTTCCTCATCTGACTAAAGAGTTGCAACTTACTTCTGGATTTTTGGTAATTTTTCCCTCTCTGTGTTGTGGATTTTTACTCAGTTATCGTTTTCTTTTGGTTATTTTCTGTATTCTGAGAGACATTAAGGTTAACAGGGGTGCCAATAATTGATTGGTTATTGTTCTTTAGAATTATGATTCGAACTTTTAGGGTTCATAAATATGAGGCTTCATTTCAAATATAAAGTATATTTGGTAAATCTTGATATAAACAGTAAACACGTGATTCAGTTCCTCCTATGTTCTCTTATTACTCGATTATCAATACATAAATTTGGTGTTTTCTCGATGCTTGTGGCAGATGTTTAAAAATCAGTAGTGATTTTTAGTGTTGAAGCTTTTCATTGCCAACAAAGTTTAGAGATATGATTGAGACTATTGGAATGAATAAAGTAGAAGTGACTATTTTAAATCTCTTTTCTGTTCAAAACCAAAGGATAATTACTTTAGATTCCTCATTCAAACTAGTTATGTCACTGCTCCTAATCTAAAAACCAACGTTTCAGTTTGTTAATTGTTTAATAAGATACTATCTGTAACAAAGGTAACTTTCTATACTACTCTTAAGTGCCTTTTTTAGGTAAATGCAGAAATCAAGGGTGCTGGTCGACTTCTTCCTTTTGTGAATTGGTTTTTGTGGCTTCTTTCAATTGTGAATTGTTTTTTTTCCTAGGTTGTTTGGGCTTCCTTTCTATGAATAAATTGTGGGTACCGGATGAATTACTTTTAGCTTTTTGTGTTTGACTTATTGACTTTTTTAGTGCTAACTACTCATTTTTCTATTTTTTTCTTCTCTCATCTGCAGAGAAGATGGCACATGGCACAACTGATGAATAAGGTTAGGCTCTCATTGCCAAAAGCTTGATGAAAGCTTTATATTAGCTCTCAGGTAATTTTAGAGACACAGAGATAAACTTGGGTGCTAATGGTTGTTGTTCCTTGGTTGGTGTTCTGTTATTTGTGTTTTGCATAGAGCAATGTTAGAAAACACATTTGTGCATGTGTGTGTCTACTACAATGGATAGTGGTCTGAAAGAGTGTAACTTGCTGCATGGTCTCTGCTAATTTCTTGCTAATTTCCATCTCAAGTGTTCTCTTTTTGCTAGTTTCCTTTTTTGGATTACTAGGGAGAGGAAAAAGTTAATTGTTTTCTAGAATATCTATTTAATTGTTTTCTCCAGGATAACATAAGTGCATTATTTAGTGGGTAGATTTGATTGTAGAGGGGACCAATTTTTTTCATTTGCAATATTCAGTGCATAAGGCTAACTTTGAACTTAGTTTTGCTCTTCTTGTCATTGAATTGATAGATTGCAAACTGAATAGTCAAAGGAAATCTCAAGGAAGCACGTACAATGTAAGTCCTCTGTACTATTAGATTTACGCACACAAAAATATTTTGACTTTTCTATTGTAGTTATAACATGTTTGATAGAAATAGATTAAATGTATCAAACTGATTTTCTTTCTCTATTGTTCTCTTTTTGATGTTTCCTAGCATGTGTGAAAAGTCCAAATTTTGTTTCTAATCTTTGTTTCTCTATATTTTCCTTCTCTTGCCATGGGTTTTGTAGAAATTCAGATTAAGTATTTAAAATTGTATTTGAATTTTTAGGGATTTGAAATACATGTAGGTCCAAAAATCGTAATTGATGATGTAAAGCCAACAACCGCGGATGATGACAACGATGGTGATCCCTTGTTCAAATCTCTAAATTGATTTTTAGGTATAAATTGATGTTTGAATCTCTCTTCTTCTCTGAGCGAAATTGTTTGATTTCATGATAGTTTTATAAGAATTTTCTTTTTCCCATCAACTTCACGTGTCTTATCAGTAATGGTGACAAAACAACGAGGAATCTAGAGTTTTTACTTCCTATAACATTTGAGTGAGTAAAGGAAGAGCAAGTGGGGTTTTGGGGGTGTACTTTTTTCACTGAAAACAAGGGAAGAATCCTTTTTAACTTTTTTCTTAATTGTTATATGTGAAAACTCCCATATTGACATAGATAGACTTATAGACTCCAACAATACTTTTTCGCAGTTGGGTCTGGCTAACCTAATGCCTTAGGAAGTAGGATCTCCTAAGAAAAGCTTCTTCTTAAGATATAATTATGTACTATTATTCAAATTGAACTATTATTCAAATATAGGTGTACGAAGAATTTAGCCTGGTTAATATTTTCTTTTAAGTTCTTCATTTTCTATGTATTTCAAATAAGGAGTTATGGAGGTTTGTAGGGAAGGTCTCAACAACCTTTTTTTACTTCCTCCCTCAGATAAGCCGCATTCACCTTATTGGATTATACATTTCCAACATCTCTATTATGCAACAATCTTTTCATACAACTGCGTGGAACTTTTACTTTATTCTTACTTAATATTGATTTTTGATTTTTGCTTCAATTCCCTTATTTATAATTTATAATTTTTCTAGGTTCAATTTGATGTCGTCAACAATTTTTTATCCTTGAACTTCATCATGTCTTATTTCTTCTTCCAGGCCGTTTTTTTAATATCACATGATTTATTCTTGCTTGTTCCTTGGATAGAAGAAGGCATCAATGGTTGGATCTCTATCCGCCATGGATTGTATCTATTTTAGATGCTTTCCGATTGCTCAAAGTAATCTATGTTTCAGAAGTTATTTTATTAAGCTTTTCATTTTTAGTCTCTATATGAGAGTTTAAAAGTAATCTATTATTATGTCTCTCTTTATGAGAGTTTCATAAGTAAAGATGAATTTTGTTATTATTGTGCTATACATATGTTTCTTGGTAAACTATATCTCTTGTTATTCGTTCTCCTTTGTTTTCATTATCTCGGCGACCTACACTAAGTACGGATAAAAAAAGAATGGAAGGGTTTTTACTCTTCTATTTGCATGTTTGTCTTTTCCGAGTTGAAATTGACCACTTTACAGGATCTTCTCAACCATGTTATCCTTCTTTTAAGTTAGGTCCCATTTTATTTTCTCTATATTTATTTATTTTTTTTGTTTGTATTATTATTTACTATATATTTTGTTTTCTATACTTATTATGCTATTGATGATCCTAGGTACTCGTTGATGCGTATTTCTTCTCGACGGTTGTTGCGATCTTATGTCTTTTCTTGTTCTGGACGGTTTGGTTAATTATGATTTTGCTCTTTGTTAAAGGCTAACCGTGGTTTACCTTTCATGTTTCTTGGATAAGAAAAGGACATTAATGGTTGGATCTTTGTCTGCCACGGATTGTATCTGTATTTACGGATACTTCTACCCTATCTTAAAAAGAAAAAGATAAGTTCATTCTTTCTCTTCTCTTTTTTTTTTTTTTTTTTTTTTTTTTTTTTTTTTTGCAATTGAATAATTTAGTTCTTTTATACCATCTCTTATATTTTGATGTTTTGTAGGTCCAACATGATGTCTCCATCAAGCTCATGATCTTAGGATCTTTATGTCCTTTTCTTCTTCCAGACAGTTAAATAAATCTTATGTGTTGTTTTTCTTACATCGCGTGATTTCTTCTTACTTGCTCCTTAAATAGAAAGCGACATTATTTGTTTGGATTTCTTTCCACCACGGATTGTATGTCTTTCTACTCTCTCTACTAAAAAAAAAAAAAATTTCAAATTGTTTGTAAAATTTGAGGCAAATTGTTTGTAAAATTTGAGGCAAATTGCTTGTAATTGATGAAGATAAGTTTTCCTTATGAACTCAAAAAGTTTATAAAATGAGTTGAATTTCTTGATTATAACGAAAATGAGTTATATTGTGGAGAGTTCTCATATTTTCAAATAAATAGCTATTTGTTCAGCTGCTTTATTTGTTTCCCAAATTGTAAACTGATATAAAGTCTCACATTCTAAAATTTGTGGCTTTTCTTTTCCTTGCATGTTCAGTCTTAGAATTTTCGTTATTATTAAACTTCCTACTATGGATTTCTAGGTATTAGTGCGAATGAGGCCACCATGCAAAGACAAGGATGAAGAAATGATAGTTCTGAAAATTTCTAATGATTCTTTGGCAATCAACGGAAAAACTTTTACATTCGACTTGGTTGCTGACAGAGGCAACGCATGTAAGGTCTTCATGGAGATGTGAGTTTCTTCAAATACTTAAATGAATAGTTTGCTTTAACCTTTAAATGATTGAGTTTGATCACAACTTTTTGTTGCTGCTAGATATTTTCCACCTTATGGGAGCTCCACTTGTTGAAAATTGTATGACATGTTTCAACATTTCCATTTTTGCCTATGGACAGGTATGTTGAATTTGCCCTTGTTTTGTGATGTGTTGTGATATAGAGTATGCATAACATATATGAAAAGTGATTGTTGTTAGACGGGATGTGGGAAAGACTTGTATGATGCGGGGTCCAGCCAACACATTGTTGGATTAAAAGCATTTCTATCTATCAACAAGGTTTAACTCCTCGAGTGTTTGAGCGTCTCTTTGCTTGGATAAACGAGGTAAATTTATTATGTCTTTTGTATTGTTCTAATTTAATTTTATATCATATATATGCTGCAAGCTGTTTGTGGAACTTCTTTCTATTGGAGCAAAAGAAGAATGCTGATAGACAACTCAAGTATCAGTGTCACTATTTCTTTTTTGAGGTAGATTTTTGGTGTAATTGGCCTATTTTAACTGTATAATTTCTTCCATTAACTCATTAACTGATTTTTGCATATTTAGAATGAACAGATTACATATTTATTAGATCCTAGTCAAAGAAATACTCAGGTAAGGAGGACTTTTTTTTCCCTTTTTAGAAGTTCTTATTATAGTGCTACTTATGAGGGCTGTTATCAACTTTTTTCTCTAGATAAGCGAAGATGCTAAATTAGGGATCTATGTTGAAAATCTCACAGAGTGTTTACGTACAATGTCAGATGTAAAGCAGCTTTTAATGAAGGTTTGCTCTGTAATGCCACATAGTTAAAATGCTTTTTTTTTAATTAAGTTTTGAAACTTTTGACAGTAAGAACCTTTTAAAGAAAGCTCGTGTTGCCTTACCTCTAGAAGTTTGCACTCAATCTTTTTCGAACACCTTGGTTGGCTCTTTCAAGCACCCACGTAGTTGATAATTGCTTCCCCCCCTATTTCTGATTTCATTGATATATATTTAGTCATTGATGATTAGAATCTTTGCATTCAGCAGCTAAAATGAAACCTTGCATTCAATTAGTTGCAACCTATGTTTCTTCTGGTACATTGAGAATATCTCCTAGGGCTAATTACATTTAGTTAAGGTAATATATGAGTGACAAACAGTTTTTTTTCCCTTTCCCTTCTTCTTCTACTTCTTATTCTTCTTTGGTTAAAATAACAATAACAAAAGAGAACGTAAATTGTTGATGATATAAATATTTGTCTTCAATTTGCATCTCCAAGTATGTAAAATTGAAAAAAAGATGAAAAGTAAAATTAGTCAAAAGTGGATTAGCAACATGATGACTATATTAGCTCTTACAAAATAGAAAAATAAGTCATTATTAAGTCCTGCTTATCTAACGTATTAAAGAAACCATCAAGACTAACACATTAAAGAAAACATGAAGACTATGTTAAACTAAAAGAAATGAAGAGGGAATGGTATTCTGTCAATCTAGCTTGCAATATATCTTACTGATGAAGTTATTCCTTATTTATTGGGTGTACTCTTTAGCATGTTATGATTTGCATCGAAGAATTTAGTTTTTCTTTTGCTCTCAAATTTCTCTCATTTTATTCAAATTTTATTTCAATCTAGCATGTTATGAAGTTATTCCTTCTCGGTTAGGATTTTGTTTTCCTCTTTTTTTTTGGCTATTTCTTATCATTTTGATATGTTTAGCGTCAAGATCTTTGTTTCATGAAAACAAATTTTCCTTTTGAGAACGTGGATTCTTGTTCAACTTGAAAGTGTTGTGGATGATGCATGACTTCTACTTCCATAAAGATTTCTTTTTTTTTGTTTTGTTGTTTCTTGCACGTGGGTTGCATAACACCATAAACTATATAAGTTGTATCTGTGGACAGAAAAGATGGGATTCTTATAGCAACTGAGATTAATTTTTGACAAATTTTAGCCACAATTTTTGATTTGTGATTTAGATCTTTTATGTTGTGAAAGTGAAAATTTCTTTTGCCATTCACTAGCTTTGTTCGATTGCAGCACTCTGACCAGCATTCACCAAAAGTACGCCATCTACTTCTTAGCAGGTGAAATGCTTATTCCCGAAGTCCTAATTTTCAATTACGCTAAAATCCTTCTTTTATCGTTTTCGCATCCTTCTTCATTAGGATTCTATGCACATTGTTGCTCGTAATTTATTTTAGCCCACACATTCTCTTGTTTGCAACCATTTTTTAGAGCATAAAGCGTGGACATTTATTTTGACATTTGATTTGCATACATTTGTCTTGTTATTTCCTTTATTTATTTATTTTTCTTTACCTTTTATTTGTCGTTAGCTTGTTTTAGGTGAAAGTCGTTGTCCTCTTTTATCTTTATAAAAACTTTATTTGATTGATTGTTTTATCTTTAATCTTCAGGTTGTTTCCTTTTGATGGTTTTATTTTTCTACTTTCTATATTGCGTTCTTTGCTTTTCAAGGTGTCATTTTATTTCTTAATTGTGACGTTGCTTGTGCTGTTTCAACGTATTAAAGGAGAGGCTTGGTGGGATTGCTGGTATCGAATTTGAGCTGGTACTTTTCAAGTTGAGTGAGAAAAGTGTGGTGAGGGTTTGACTCTGTATGTTCAGTGTCTTCATCTCTAACAGAGGCTCTCCTTAGAGCCTCTTCACGACTGGTTCTTGCTTGCTTCCCTTGGAACTCCACCCCCTTTAAAAAAGGGTGATATGTCTCTCTCCCTCTCTAATATTTGAACTATTTTATTTTATTATTTGCTTCTCTGACTTGTGATAATGGGGCATCTTTTTATGAGTTTTTGTAGGTTAAAAGTGGTTTGTTCATAAAATGCAATCTTGTTATTTCCTCGTAACATTACCATTATTCATTCCATATATGGTTGCTTTTGCTGAAAGAGTTAGGAATCTCTCGAGTCTTGCCTAGGAGCTGCAAGGAGGGAATTGATTTGAGTGGTTCCTGGATCCTTCTAATTTTAGTCCTAGGGGCAGAAGTTTTTCAGAAGTTGCTATACTATCAATCTTTTAAGGTATTTGGCTAGGAAGGAAACGAAGGACTTTTTAAAATACTGGGGGGATAGTTTTGTTTTGTGGGATAAACTGAAATTTTGGGTTTTTTTTTTTTATATTTTTTTTTCTCTCTCATGGGTATACTGATATAGGGACTTTGGTAATCCAAGTTTTTTTTGTTAGCTTTGGGTGCTGATTAGGCTGAGTCATGAATGGGCCTTAGCTCCTTCTACCACACTTGAGGGTCCATTCAACTATGGTGAGGTTTCTTGTCTCTCACTCTCTCTTCTAATGTATCAAGTAAGATCTTACTCGGTTAATCCCCAAAATTATGAGTTTTTTTCCTGCCGGAATCTTACTATTCAACAACTTAGTATTGAAGGGAACATTGCAATAAATATGGAAATAATGGTTATGGTTATTCTATTATAAATCTAGGTTCTTTTTAGTCACTGTTCGAGAACTAGGTTCATTCCTTTTGTGCTCCTTTTTTTTTTGGTTTTGGTTTTGATTTTTTCTCTTTTCTTTCTAAGGTTGCCTCCCGCCCCCTCTGTTTCCTACTCTTTTCTCCTCCGGCTTTTTTCTCTATCCTTTTGTTTCACCTCTCTCCGCCTTTTGTTTGTGCTCTCCTTCTATGCATTTGGATGAACAAAGAGCCATCAATTTTTGTGACCATTACCAGAGTGGTTGTTGTCTGTTCCATCTGTTTTCATTTTAATTATTTGAAACATATATGTGCACTTGCATACCTGCGAATCTCTTGTGTAATGGGTAACTTTGTGAGATATAAACACCGAATATTGTTGTTGCTAGTGTGTTATATCCATTCTTAGAAAGAAAGGGTGTTAGTTCCATTAAGAAAACATCAATCTTATGATCAAATGTTGGCAAGCATTTCTTAGTTGCCCATAACTTGTTTGATAAATCTGTCCTTGTTGCTAGAGTGTTATATCCATTCTAAGAAAGAACGGGTATCAGTTCCATTAAGAAAACATCAATCTTATGATCAAATGTTGGCAAGCATTTCTATAGTTACCTGTAACCTGTTGGGCATAATGTCTGATAGATCACAACTCACCATAGTTGCTATGATAAATAGCATAGTCATATGATTACAAATGTCCTCCATTAATTATTCCATTCATATTTCTGTTATGTGATTCCTAATATGTGTGCTCATGTAAATCTGTCCTTGTTGGTGGTAATAAGGTGCCAGTATTTATGCTTGTGTTTTATCCTACCCATACTGCTTGCTTCGACACATCTTTCATATCAGAGGTAATGAATTTAGAGTTCGTTTGGTACCTAGATTCGTTCCCTGATTCGAATCATGCTTCGTGGTTCGCTACAGTATTTTCTCTCACAAAAAATACACGTAAATCGAAAATGATTCTAATCACATGATTTGAATCCATGAACCAAACGCCACATTAGTTGCTGCACACACACACATAGATGTGTGTAAATGTTTGGAATGATGAATAATAATCATAGCTAGATTTGTTACTCTTGATGATCTCTGATGTACAATGACTTCATGTAGGGAGTTCTAGAACTCAAGATCGGATGATAGCTGTTGATACTAAGCCCGTAGATCCTACATGTGATTGATTTTGAACCCCTGTCATTTTATTTATTTATTTAGTTTTGGGAACAAGCATTCAAGCTGCATGTGATTGCTTGGTATGAATGTGATAGAACTATCAACGATCTCCAATAGTTTGTATGTCAATAGCACATTATTTTTCTTCTTTAGATGTAACCCCCTCTACGTCTGCCGAAATTACCCTAGAATAGTAGAGCCTAGATCCAATGCCTTGTTACAGTAGACACAATAGCATCTCAGCTTGTGTCATATCACATCCGCTCAAGTTTGAACATTTCCTGATTATGTTTCTCCTTTTGATAATTCATTTCCTTCCAATGGTTACAGCTTAGTGCAGATTTACACTCGTCAACAAACAATCAAGGGAAATGTTCCTTAGTATGATCTCGTTTTGCATGTTCCCTGTGGATGTTGAACACTACTAATATGCTTTTTCTTCTTTGTTTCAACCTCATTATTGCTAACATTTTGTTAAACCTTTTGTAGTCCTTATTCTAATTGCTTAAGAACTATATATAGCCCTTCAACTTCATTTCTCTTAATTTATTTCACAGAGCAATACAACCTCATTCATCAAATCTTTCATATAATACGTCATGTGGTGAATTGAAGATGAAAAACCTTGTTTTTCTATTATATTGAATGTTTACACGGCAACATACATATATACAGCACCACTAACATTAAGTTTGTATCCTAACAATTTAGGAAAGTAACAAATTAGGAAACTATCACTAATTCTAAGGATATGATCTGTCAAATTAATTTCCTAAAATACTATCTAGCTGTTCACGATTTTCCAGGCTGTTTTCCAAGCTGCACCCAGTTTCCCCACACTCCCCCTCAAGCTGGTGAGTAGGCATTTTCCATTCCCAGCTTGGATACAATCTTCTGAAAAACTGAACTAAATCCTTTGGTAAGAACATCATCGAGTTGACCACATGTAGACGTAAGGCGTACAAATTAGTCCACTTTCTAACTTTTGCTTGATAAAGTGTGTCGATTTCAATGTGTTTGGTCTGGTTCTATTGTACTGGGTTGTGAGCTATCTTGATCGCAGATTTGTTGTCACAATAGAGTCTCATAGGGTTGTCCCACTTGATCTTCAAATCTTTAAAGATAATCTTCAACCAAAGTAGTTCACACGCTCCTTAAGCTATGACTCGGAACTCAGCCTCGGCACTCGATCGGGCTACTACGCTTTGTTTTTTACTTTTCCACGTTACGAGATTCCCCTCAAGGAAGATGCAATATCCTGAGGTTGATCTTTTGTCAACAATTGACCCAGCGTAATCAGCATCAGTGTATGCTTCGGGGACTAACCCCCCATTCCTTTTGAACAAAATACCTTTTCCCGGCGTTCCTTTGAGGTACTGTAGAACTCTATAGGCTGCTTGCAGATGGACTTCCTTTGTACTATGCATAAACTGGCTAATCACACTCACGGCATATGCGATAGCTGGTCATGTGTGAGACAAGTAAATGAGTCTTCCCACTAAATGTTGATACATTTCTCTATTCACTGCGGCATCCTCCTCTTCTTTCCCAAGTTTGAAATTCAAATCTATAGGAGTACTCGCTGGTTTGCATGCTGTCCTGCCAGTCTCCTCGAGAAGATCCGTAACATACTTCTGTTGAGAAAAGAAGATTCCCTGCTTCGAGTGAGCAACTTCAATCCCGAGAAAGTACTTCAACCTTCCTAATGCTTTAATCTCAAATTCCTTTGCCAAATGTTGACTCAAGACTTGTTTCTCACTAACATCATCTCTTGTCAATATTATGTCATCAACGTACACCAAAAGAGCTGCAACTCCCTCTGAAGGAGAATGCTTAATGAACAATGGATGATCCCCTTGTTTTTGTTTGTATCCCGTAGCCAACATAACTTTTGCAAATCTCTCAAACCATGTCTGTGGTGACTGCTTAAGGCCATACAGTGCCTTCTTCAATCTACACACGGTATGAGCAATCAAATTCTTCCCATCCTGGTGGAACCTCCATCTAAATCTCTTCCTCTAGTTCCCCATGTAGAAAGGCATTTTTGACATCAAACTGCTGCAACTCTTAACCATAATTTGCTGCTAGTGATAACAATACTCGTATTATGTTCATCTTTGCCACAGGGGCAAAAGTCTCTAGATAATCGATCCCATAAGTTTGAGTATACCCCGTGGCTACTAACCGCGCCTTGTACCTCTCAATCGACCAATCTACTTCATACTTCACACTATACACCCATTTACAACCCACTGGTCTTTTTCCTTCCGATAACTTCACCAACTCCCAAGTTTTGTTCTTTTCCAACGCCTCCATTTCCACATTCATAGCTTGTTTCCATTTTTCGTTAGATAAAGCCTCGGACAAGGTGGTTGGAATGGTGATGGTATTTAGGTTTACAACAAAGGCTCTATGAGATGGCGAAAAATTATTAAAGGATAAGAAATGTGCAAGAGGGTGTAAAGGTCGCTTTGTACACTCTCTAGTTCCTTTCCTAATAGCAATTGGAGGGTCCTGGTCATCATTATCCACATGCAATGTAGTTTTATCTTGTAAAAAATGGCCAGAAATAGTTACCTCATTCGAAGGGTTTGAGTTGGATTCTTGGACCTGCATAGGTTTTGGAACAGCCTTCGTCCTTGTTGTGAACATGTTGCCTTTACCAAATCTCACATTTTCCAGGGCAGAATTGGGTTTTTCTTGTGGTTCATTTGGTGTTTCAAGTATGGGTTCAGGAACATGAGAGGAACAAGATGGACCAGGTGTAGCAGAAGGAACATGAGTGAGACTGTCCGACTTGTGGATTGATGACATATCAAGCAAAAAACCTTCCTTATCCTATTTCAATGAATTCTTTCCCTGAGGATAAGGATTAGAGATAAGAATTTTGTTCATCGAACATGACATCCATCGAGACATAGAATTTCTTTGACGGGGGATGATAGCACTTATATCCTTTATGAGTTGAAGAATATCCCACAACGACACATTTTAGAGCCCTTGGATCTAATTTCGCCCTACTTTGACTGTGAACATGGACAAATGACACACACCCAAAAATCCTAGGGACAAGATTGTTTGTAGTCTTTAGGTTCGGGTAAAATGACGAGTATGTCCATGAGACTTCTAGAATCCAAGATTCTTGAAGGCAAACGATTTATCAGATGAGTGGCTGTAAGGACTGCTTCCCCCCTAAAAAGCCTTTGACACATTTTTTTGAAACAACAAGGCTCGAGTTTTTTCAAGAAGATCACCATTTTTCCTTTTTGCTACTCCATTTTGTTGTGGAGTACTGACACATGACACATGACGATTCGTGTACTATTCCCTCTTTTTGAAAGAATGGGGTAAGAGTTTGATTGAAATAGTCCCTAGCATTATCTAACCTAAACCTTTTAATTGAGACCCCAAATTGATTTTTTACCATAGAATGAAAATTAGGGAATACATTACTAACATCAGACTTTTGTTTAAGTAGGAAAATCCATGTAGCACGAGTACAATCATCAATGAAAGAAACAAACCATCTTGCCCCAGAAACGTTAGAAACCATAGATGGACCCCAAATATCACTGTGAACAAGATAAAAAGGAAAGGAACTTCTTTTATTACTAATTTGAAAAGGTACACGCTTGTGCTTACCAAGTTCACACACTTCACATTGGAATCTTTCAACTGCTAAATTTTTAAACAAAGAAGGAAACATAATCTTGGTAACTCTAAAGGATGGATGTCCAAGTCGACAATGATGGAGAAAAATTTTTTCTTTATTGGATAAGACACATTCTGATATCAAGGATGAAGATAAACTGCCCTTGGTCATGTTCAACTGACTTGGTGAATTGAAGATGAAAAACCCTATTTTTTTATTATATTGAATGTTTACACGGCAACATACATATATATAGCACCCCTAACATTAAGTGGACGTTTGGTTCACGAATTCAGAACCATGATTTAGAACACTTCTCGGTTTACGTGTATTTTTTGTGAGAAAAAACATTGTAGTGAGCCACGAACCATGACACGAATCGTCATACCAAACACCCTCTAAGTCTGAATCCTAACAATTTAGGAAAGTTACAAATTAGGAAACTATCACTAATTCTAAGGATACAATCTGTCAAACTAATTTCCTAAAATATTATCTAGCTGTACACGGTTTTCCAGGTTGTTTTCCAAGCTGTACACAGTTTACCACACGTCCAAACCTTTTTTTTAAAATAAAAAAACTCATCCTTCTAAACAAGCGAGAAACAAGCTATACTTAAAATACGTATACAATTTAGAAGAAGTTTGGAGCACGTGTCCCAACTATTATATGTAACATATGCAAAAATGATTGTTGCTAGGTGGGAAGTGGAAAGACTTATACGATGTGGGGTCCAACCAACTCATTTTTGGATTAAAACATATCGAGTGATCAACAAGGTTTAACTCCTAGAATTTTTGAGCGTCTTTTTGCTTGGATAAATGAGGTAACTTTGTTTTGTCTTTCTTACGTTCTACGCATTGAATTTTGTATCCATCTGCTGCAAGCCCTCTATGGAACTTCTCTCTGCAGGAGCAAATCAATAATGTTGATTGGACTATTTAACTGTGTTTTTTCTTCCATTAACTCATTAACTGATTTTTCAGATTTACAACGAGCAAATTACAGATTTATTGGATCCTAATCAAAGAAATTTCCAGGTAAGGACTGTTTTACTTCCCTCCTTTTAGATGTTCTTTTAGTACGACTAACATGGGCTAAAAGTGGCTCTTGAAAAGGGGATTGCTAAACTGAGCTGCATATTGCGTTTCTTTTTTTTTTTTTTTTGCGTAATAGTTACTGGAAAATGGTTATAAAAAACATGGTATATGGTTCAGGTTGAGAAATGGATCCAGAAAGTGGAACGTGAAATGTAGAAAGAAGAAGGTTTTGAATCTTAAAAGAAAATTTGATTGCAACAGAAGTTAAAAGGAAGGTAGACAGAGAGAGAAGATTCCTGTCCAGCATTGTACAAGGTACATTTGACAGATATGGTGAAAATCAAACTATGTGACTGTAGACTTGTAGTATTTCTCTAGTACTGTGTATATATCAACTCTATGGTTTAATTGTTACTAATTTCTTTTAGCTATCAAATTAAACTTTTTGGATGTAGTATCTCTCTCTCATTAAAATGTTGCTTCTCTTCTCTGTCACAGATTTTGATAAGCTTCCTTTATGCTATGACAAATGCATGTTCTCTAGTTGGTGGTAGCGAGATATTTATGATGGCCGTTGGTGGTGGAAAATGTCAGGTAAACACGGTTCGTCTCTTATTCCTTATTGCATGTTATAGAGTTTATGTAGAGCAATTTATGTGGTTTAATAAAAAAAATTTAATAAAAATTTAAATTTAATAAAAAATTTTGTGGTTTTTGTTGTTAAGCAAAAGAACATTTCTTCCTTTGAGCATAGAGTTTATGTTCTTCCAATGCCAGAAAACACCAACTCCAAATCACCCAAAGGCTCCTCTAACGTTTTGCTATACACCAATATATCATTAAAAAAAAAACCAACGCAAACTTCCGCAAATAATCCTTTAAAACATCACTCATTAACGCCTAAAAAGTTGCCGGAGCATTGGTTAAGCCAAATGGCATCACCAAAAAATCATAATGGCTTTCTTGCGTCCTAAAGGCGATCGAAAAGCGGTCTTAGGCACGTCCTCTTGCTTCATGTGAATCAAAAAATCAATTTTTCTGGCAAAAATTCACTTGTTTTCATCACTTTCGGAGGAAAAAAATCGGAGAATTGTGACTGAAAACTGTCATAACTTTTTGTCTAGAAATCGTTACTGGGCCTATAATATACCAAATCGAAACACTTTTGGAGCTCTACAATCATGACGGGACATAGCCCACCAATCCAATTTTTTGGGCCAAAATTCACTTGTTTTCATCAGTTGCGGAGGAAAAAAATTAGAAAACTGTGACTGAAAATGACCATAACTTTGTATCTAAAAATCGTTACTGGGTCTATAATATACCAAATCGAAACACTTTTTGAGCTCTACAATCATGATGGGGCGTAGCCCACCGACCCAATTTTTCGGGCTAAAATTCACTTGTTTTCATCAGTTTTGGAGGAAAAAAATCAGAAAACTGTGACTGAAAACGACTATAACTTTTGATCTACAAATTATTACTGGGCCTATAATATACCAAATTGAAGCTCTTTTCGAGCTGCACAATCGTGGCCAGCCATAGCCCGCTAACTCAATTTTTTGGGCCAAAATTCACTTGTTTTCATCAGTTTCGGATTAAAAAAATTGGAGAACTGTGACTGAAAACGGCCATCCCCTATCAGTTAAAGCCAATCCTTACAAAAGGAGGAAATAGAATCGAAAATCTACCTTAGTTTTTCCTTTCCGTTGGTTCCCCCCGACAATCAAGCTGCACTTCCTTCTAACAAGTGGCTGAGAGTCAACAAGCAACCTTGGCCTCTTGGCAGGAGCTTCACTGCCCCCTTCCTTTCCGGTCCGGCTGCGGTACGGCACCTGAACTTGAAGCTACGATCAGACTCGATTGGATCTGATCCGTTCAGATTCCACAGATCTAACCGATGGAAAAATAGTCTTTACTTAGGAGGGCTAAGACATTGAACAGCTTAAGTTAAACGCTTAGCGGGTAACTTGTGTTTGTTGGCACAGATGGATCTGTATCTTTTATCTCAAAAGTGGAAGGAGCTGGTGGAGAAAGCCCGTTCAAAGCAACTTCAACCTCACGAGTACAATTCAGGTCTTCTTTATCAAATGTCTTCGCACATATTTATTGTCGATTGCTTTTCATGGTGCTCTTTTATGAATAGATCAAGTTGAATCATTGCATAAACATTTACTCTGCCCAATTTAGGCATGTTTGGAGTGGATAGATTCAACACTATACTTCCGCCAGGCCAGGTGAGTTGAAAACATCAATGTTAGGTTTTCCTTATTTCACAAATTGGGTAGAGTCTTTTGCTCCTTGTGACAATTAGTACTGCGCTGAAAGTTTGGTTGATGTTTAGGGTGCTATTATGGTTGTTGGAGCTTCAAAGCCGGCAGTTGTGGCTGATGTAGATGGCTTCTTCAGTGTAAAGAGTAAAATGCTGGTACGTGCAGTTTCTACTTTTATGTTACACTCACAAGGAGTTTATAAGATTGAAAATAATAAAGAATCCAACTGTATTTTTAAAGTCTTTTCCTGCAGCATTCCCTATGAAATACAACTTATACAATAAACAACAAGTACTATTTACGCTGCTTTCTTCCTGAAACCATATGATGAGCAGTGTCAATACCAATTTACTTTAGAAATGTCAATACCAATTTACTTTAGAAATTGAGTATAAGAAGTAATATATCTGCCACATCGATGCTCTTAGCTAACTTAGGTTTTATAGTATGATGTCCTGGAGTTGGAAATATTATACACGATCTCACTATCAGACCATTAGATATAAATAAGCAGCAGGAGCTGTGTTATTCTATACTTCATAGCTGCATGACTAAAGTTCCTTGTAATAGTGCTGATACAATAGTACTACGCATTATTTTTCTTCCAGAATTTTAAATAGGGGGACCTTGTGATAAAACTCCAGTTCATTAATTGCTTGAAATCCCAAAAACATTCAAGAATCTAATTAACATTACAAAAGAGATATAAGGTTCTCTAGTAAGAATTGGTAGGTTCCAAAATTAGACATGCTAAGGTCAAACATAGCTATGGGCAGTTTACGGGGTTTTGTGTAATTTAATAGTCTTAACACAAGCTAGGAATTATCATATCCATTTGGATTGCGTATTAAGAATAACGTGGCCAAGTACATGGTTGTTGAAATTGGTTTGAATATATATATATATATATTTTTAGAATAGAAACTGTTATTATTAATGAGAGTATCAGTTATAATAACAGATTCTATGAGTGTTGGAATTTCCTCCAGCCAAAATAGCTTATCATCAATAGTAAGAGCATAAGCAGCCAATTGGAGGTTTAAATCAACGTAGACCAAGCATCCTTGAAGATGATGCAACCATCACAAACCTGAGGATAAGAATAATTTTGAACGAGTACAAGAATAAAATGATATGCTTGAAAGCTTCATGGTGGTAACCTGGGGTATATGGTCCTAATTCTTATAGAGATAGAGGAGACTTTTGGGATGAATTGGCTTGAATTGTATTTGTGAACTGAATTGGTGTGTGGGAGGGGACTTCAATACAGGTTTAGTCAAGAAAAATTTCCAAGCGGAAGGGATACTAGAAGTATGAGGGCATTTGATAAACTCATTAGGGAGGCGGATTTAAGGGATTTAGTGTTGTCCAACTCTAAGTTCTCATGGACAAATTTTAGAGAAGATGTGACCAAGAACAATTGATAGGTTTCTAGTTACAAATGGGTGGGAGAACTTGTTCAATGAAGTTAGACAAGTGGTGGGAGTGAGAGCATGATCGGACCATTTCCCCTTGATCTTGGATACCCATCCAGTAAAATGGGAACCAACACTTTTTCAGTTTGAAAATATGTGGTTGGACCATCCAAGTTTCCGGAAGGAATGTGAAATTTGGTGGGGGAACATGAATCCAGTTGGTTGGGAAGGCTACAAAATTATGGAGAAATTGTAAGGTTTGAAGGACAAATTAGAGACTTGGAATAAGGTATCTTTCGGGGATACAAATTTAGCAAGAAGTGAGCTTTTGGGGAGAATTGAGAGATTGGACAGCAAAGAGGAGGAGAGTGGTTTGGACAATGGTGATAGGGAGGAAAGAAAAGTTTTAAGGAATAGGCTAGAAGAAATAATTTTTAAAGATATGGTGGCTTGGAAACAAAAAAAAAAGAAATTTAGAAGGACAAAGGAATGGGATGCGAACACAAAATTGTTTCGCAAGCCGCTACGCAATAGGAGAAATGAGAGTGTAATTTCAAGGTTGGAAAAGGATGATGATTCAGTGTTGGAAGACGAGAAAATTGGAAGAGATGATGATTCAGGGAATTGATTGGAGGGCGATTATGGATGAAAAGGCTCGGTGGTTTGAGCGACCTTTTGAAAGGAGGAAATTAAGCTTGCAGTTTTTAGTAATGACAAGGATAAGTCACAGGGACCAAGTGGATTTTCAGCAGGGTTCTTTCAAGATTGTTTGTGTGGTGAAAAGAGACTTATTGAGAGTATGAGGAATTTCATAGGAGTGGTGTGATTAATTTTGCAGTTAACCATACTTTTCTTTATCTAATTTCGAACCGACTCAAGGAGATTGAAAGACTATAGGCTAATAAGTTTGGTGGCAAGTTTACAAAATTATGGCAAAAGTCTTGGCAAAATTTTAGATGTGGTGCTTATTGCAACTGAGGCAGTAGAGGATTATAGGTCTAAGAAGAAACAGGGTTTGGTGTTTAAAGTGGATTTCGAGAAGGCTTAGGTTTTTGGACTCAATTATATTTCACTACTTACAACTTAAAAGTGTTTCACTTTTTAGCTTCTCTTCTCTCCTCTCTCTAGAATTCCGAAGGATGAGTTCACAATCTCTTTACTGATTTTATTCATAAAATATCTAAATTAGTTAAGATGTCTCAAAAGGATTTGAATCGTTTTCTCCATGAGTTTAGAGTAGGTCCAAAGTTGTACAAAATCTCACTAAGTAAAGATGGTGGCTTGGTGAGAATAGAGGAGTCCAATAGGAGGTCGAGTTTCTTCATTTCCTACAAGTTAGGTGCAGTGATCTGGATTTCTCAAACAATGGAGTTCTTGTGCAAGAATAATAGGATCGATGGTTTCAAAAAGAAGTTCAACGGGGCACAATTTCTTTTGCTGATTGAGGTGCTTACGATCGATACATGAAGATCACAAGAATCAATAGAGGAGCCTTTAGAAGCATCATTCTACCGGGAGGGGGCTGGCCTGGGGCTATCCCGGGGCTGTCCCGGGGATTCCCTGGGGACGCCCCGGGGCTGTCCCGGGGCTGCCCTGGCGCTGTCCTGGGGCTGTCCTGGGGCTGTCCCAGCGCTGTCCCGGGGCTGCCCTGGGCTGTCCCGGGGGGTGCCCTAGGGCTGCCCGGGGGGTGCCCCGGAACTGTACCGGGGGTGCCCCGGGGCAATTTTCTCTTTTGCTTGGTAATGCGTTAATTTACATTGTCAAGTAAGGCCGTTGTTAGGTTGTTTGTATTGTTTGAAGTGTCGAATTTGTTTTTTGTTGGTGTTTGGATTGTGGGGTTTTGAATTGAATTGCCTTGTGCTCTTTCGGTCAAACCGAAGGGTGTCACCATGACTGCCTTGTTGACAAAGGCCACTGCTATGGCTCTTGCTCAGCATCCGGTTGTGAACGCTTCGTGCAAAGACAGTAAGAGCTTTACGTACAATAGTAACATAAACATTGCGGTTGCTGTTGCGATTAATGGCGGTCTTATAACGCCGGTTCTTCAGGATGCTGATAAGGTTTGAAATACGCTCACCTTGTCCACTTTGTTCACGATCCATATCATTTGAGAGCTATAAATTTAAAAAATTGTTTGATTACTAGTAAATGCAACACCCGTTTGAGCTCTTTTTTAATAGTAGGAAATGGTGCACGTTTCATCCAGTGTGAGATAACACTTTCACATAGTTACAACCATGTAACTATGTTGAGATGGCCAGCCCAATCATTTGAGACAACAAGTTCAAAATTTTATTTGATTTGAGATGGCCACCCACATCATTTGAGAGCTATAAATTCAAAATTTTGTTTGATTACTAGTAGATACAACACCTTTTTGAGCTCTTTTCTAGTAGCAAGAAAATGTGCACGTTTCATCCAGTGTCAGAAAACACATTCACACAATTACACCCATGTAACTATGTTGTGATGGCCACTCCAATCAGTTGAGACTATAAATTCAAGATTTTGTTTGATTTGAGATGCCACCCACATCATTTGAGAGCTATAAATTCCAAATTTTGTTTGATAACTTGTAGATGCAACACCCTTTTGAGCTCTTTTTTAATAGTAGGAAAAGGTGCAAGTTTTATCCAGTGTGAGATAACACTTTCACACAGTTACACGCCTGTAACTACGTTGAGATGGCCGCCCCAATCATTTGAGACGATAAATTCAAGATTTTGTTTGATTTCAGATGGCCGCCCACATCATTTGAGAGCTATAAATTCAAAATTTTGTTTGATTGCTAGTAGATGCAACACCCGTTTGAGATCTTTTTTAATAGTAGGAAAAGGTGCGCGTTTCATCCAGTGTGAGATAACACTTTCACACAGTTACATCCCTGTAACTATGTTGAGATGGCCAGCACAATCATTTGAGATGATAAATTCAAGATTTTGTTTGATTTGAGATAGCCACCCACATCATTTGAGAGCTATAAATTCAAAATTTTGTTTGATTACTAGTGGATGTCTTACGCTTTTATTTTATTTTGTTTTGGGGATTTTGGGTTCTACTGTAAATGTTGGGGATTTCAGATTTGGGTTTCGCTTTGGTTTTTTGGTTGTCCTCTTTCGTGCTTCATCGTCAACTTCCCTAGCCTCTCCCTTTCTCTTTCTTTGCTTTTTTCTCTTCCCCGTTTCTCTATAGTTTCCTTGTTGAGATTCCCCTATTCAACCCTAGGATTTGTTTTTCTTTGCTTTTTTCTCTTCCCCGTTTCTCTATAGTTTCCTTGTTGAGATTCCCCTGTTCAACCCTAGGATTTGTTTTTTCCCTCAGATTTCTTTGCTTTTACCTTTTCTCGTATCTTATGATTTTTTCCCCTTTTCAGGGATTTGTTTTCGCTGAAGAGAGGTGGGTTTTTTGGCTGTGGATTCCTGAAAAGTCTTGGGTCTATATGGTGGCTTTTGGGTGATTCTTCTTCAATGTCTGAGGCGACGTCCTTTCGCTCGTTGGAATCGCCATCGACTTATGTTGTCGACGACTATATTTCGTTGACAATCTCTACTTCTCATTCAATTCCTTTTTTTTTTTTTTGGTTCGTTTGTTTAGTTCTTGAGAAAGTGAAAATTTTTTTTTGAAAGATTTGGGTTTTTTCTCAACTATTATAAGCTATGATAAGATATTCTCCATACATTTTTGTTTTGTTTATGGTAGGCACGATCATTTGTTTGCCTTGTCAATTTGGTTAAATGAAGGTTTTGATTTTTTTCGAGGAAAATGAAGTTTTGATTAATGATGGAAGAAAAAAGAATAGGAAAGGGAAAATGAACTATATCTAAACTAAAAGCAATATAATAGGAGGATTTTATTAAAATGGATTGTGTTGTAGTTCTTTCTAAAATTCTCTTTCAATATAAAGTTTTTTGCTTGTTAACAATACATTTATATGGATGTTTTCGTTATGGGGTTTCTATTCTGAATCATTTATGGATTCTAAACTACAGCCAGTTTGAAGCTGCTTTGTTAGGTTCTATTATTGCATTTTAGGTTTCTATTTAGTTACCAAAGAGTATTTTGGCAAGAGTGATTCTTTTTTCCCTATCACGAGATCTTGATAAGAAAAGCGATCTTGTTCTAGGAGGCTTTGTTTTGGAGTATGGAAGCACTGAAGGAGACCCAAAAGATCGATTGACCTCTGTTTGCACTTGGTGATTTAATATCTGCACTTGTCTCCACATTCCATCACTCATGGTCTAAAGTTTACTACTCTAAGTACTTGGTTAGGACAAATATTCGAGGTAAACTCAAAGAAGATAAGTAAATTATTTGAAGTTGTGAATCGATTTATAGTTTTGGTTGTATGCACTCAAAATTTAATGATATCTTTTCTCCATTTGCACATTTAAATAGAGATCATGTTCATATGGCCATGTTTGGAGTTGGTTTTGTTTTTGTTTTTCTCATCAGTGAAAACGGGAGAGGAACGGCGTTTGGCACAATTAAAGACAAAAAACGGAAATGAAAACGATTTTTTGGTTTAGTGTAAAATGAGAGAGAAATGAAAAACGACTTTTTGTCGTTTTTCATTTTTTGTTTCCGTTTTCTCCTCTCTCGAGCACACACAGAGAGAGACATTAATGTATTTTTTATACTGAAAACAATCTCTTGATAAAATTACCAAATGCATTTTCAAAAATGATTTCTGCCTTCTCCTCTGATTCTCTCTTTCGTTTTTCTGGATTCTCTTCTCTTCTCTCTCCCTTTCTTCTCTTTCTTTGTGTTTGCGTTGCTCTTTCGTAAGTACTTTTTTCTTCATCTTCACTTACATGACTATTTCTCTTGTAACTTCTGAGATTAGAGGAAAAGGGAAAGCTCTCCACTCATTTTTTCAGTTTCGTTCTGTGCATCTGCATTTCCTTGCTCTATCTCTCGTTTTGTCTTCTTGCAGATTCACGGTTTTCCTGGTGTTGTTCCTCTACTCACCTTTACAGGTTTACCTTTTTCTCCACTTCTAATGCTTTTAGATTTTGGGGATTTCCTTTTCCCTGGTTCTAGATTAGATTGCTATTTTGATTTTTTTTAGTTATGTTTACCTTTTTGTCGCTGAAGTCATGTTTGTGCAAAATGCTTGGTTTCATTCGAGCCCTAAATCAGATCACAAGATACCCCTTTTGTTTTCCTCTCTTCTCTCTGCAGCCTTCAAACTCCGTCCCCTCTCTTTTTCTCCCCATCTCCGCCGTATCTCTCTCTTCATCCTCGACAGAAGCTCATATTGGAACCTCTCCATGACTGGTTTGGAACTCTGACCACCCTAAAAAATAAGGTGATTTGTGCTACCAGTTTCAGTCCCCTTTTCAATCACTAGGTAACCTCTCTTTGATATCCAAATCTTAATATGGTATTTTTGAATCCTATTTTCTAATACATCTTCTCTTATTGCAAACACATTTGGTTTAACCTAACGAAGCCGAGTTTCTAAGGAGAAACAAAAGAAATAAAAGCTTCTCAACCAAACCAATTTATGTAAGCTGCTCAATTTGCATTAGACGCTTGCCAATGTCATAATTAATTTATTTTTATTTCTGCAGTACTTCATTTTGAACTAATATTTGAAATGTAGAATTTTGGTATCCCTAATTCCTTTTATATGATTTTTAGTTTTAGCTATGTTAGAATATCTATTTTTTCCCCCGATGTTTTTGTTTTGTGTAATCTGTTTGTTGATTGGGACTAATTGCATATTCATTATATTCTAATTTGGTTGTATTTGGATTTGGATTGAAATAGTATATGGGGTTATGTTATCTTACAAAAATAATGTAGTTACATGCGTCTGTTTACCTCTTATAACCTTTATTCTTTGTATTCCAATTTTTCTCATTGTCTTTATAATATTTTTGAATGTCTTATTACAAAAAACACCCCATGCTGTCTATAGTCTCATATGTACTCTGCCTCTGGTAAGAGGCAAGAGAAGTGCTTAGCCAGACATTGACTGCGTGAGCTATCCAGCTTTAAAGATTTGACTTTCATTGGTAAAACCGTACTCATCTTATTGATAATGTTAATCTTTTCTTCAATAAAAAAAATTGTCAGTAGTTTGAGTGATACTCTGTCCCTGAGTACTTAATTAAATGAGTGAAGAAGGTCATCATTTTTCTTTCTGTCAATCTTGGTATCATTTTTTTATTTTTTGCAGTTAGCATTGTTCTAAAGGTTAGATTTTATTTGTTCTTTGGGTTGTAAAGATGCGTGTCTTTGTCTACCTGTGTCGGAAATTGATTTATACTTGAGAAAGCTTGAAGAATTGCACAAACAACTTGTTACACTTCAAACCAAGAAGGTGCAAGATCATCTCTGCCCGCTAAAATTACTTTATTTGGTTCTTTGTTTAGGTGACTTTGAAGGATCTAATAAATAATGCACAACTGAATTTTTGGTTGCTGCAATACGAAGGTTATGGGGGGTCAAAATACAGATAATGTAGAGGTAAGTGTTCTACGTTTTTAGTTTCCTGTATGTGTAATTTATTTCCCTTTTGGTTGATCATATTTACCCTTATTGTATTGGCTGCTACAAGCCCTTGATGTCTGCACTTGCAACACAACTGTCAATGGTTTTTGTACATTGAAAAACATAATCTACAGTTCTTAAACTCAATGCGCTAATAAATGACTTTTGCATGTCAGGATTGCTTTAAGATGGTAATATGCTACTACTTAAATGGAGTTTTTATCTGTTAGTACGCAGATTACTGTCTTTTCTATAAGAATCTTTATCATTTTCTTTCTTCCGTTGGTGCAGGAATTTTGTTTAAGCTGAGTTAAGTAACGGCTGGAAATTGCTCTCTAAGGAAAAAAAGAATAAAACAAAAGAACAAGTTGAAGATGTTAATTGGGCGCAATTGGGTGCTAGAAAGATAAAGAGCAATACACTCATCTCGGGAAGAACATTGAGCCATAGCAAATGGGTATGACTAAGATTCTTCTTGTTTGACTAAATGAATTATTATATATATTTATATATGTTTTGTGTTGGCAATGTGTTGTATGTTCCTATAGACATATAGTGTTCTAAAATGTGGCATTGAAGCTATATAGTCTGGTATGTATAATGATGTGTTGTTAGTAGTACAAAAATTACATTTGTGTCCGTTTTGTCGAATGTCTACATCTCTTTACCTTCTGTTCGAATCCTTGGACAGACTGAGCATCAGCTTGCTAGGTTAAAGAGGAAACTTTAAGCAAGAAAGAAATAGCAAAAGTTGAGAAATGGTTGGCTGCATGTGACTAAGAGAGCTGGCTTTAGTATCATAGGTTGGTGTAAAGATTATTATTATTTTGTGCGTTTGGAATTGGTTCCAAAACGTTTTTGTTTTCTGTACGAAAATGGAAATGAAAACGTTTTCATTTTTATTTTTGAATTATTTCTGAAAATGCGTTTGGTAGTTTTATTCAGAGATTGATTTTAGTTTTAAAAAAAGCTAAAACTGCGTTTGGTGGTTTCATTTTTGAAAACATGTAATAGTATTTAATATATTAAATAAATAATAATTGAATCCCAAATAAAAACACTAATAATTAATAAAATATAAAAATTACAATCTTAACTTAAATTATTGTTGTCAATACGAATCCCACATTTGATTAGCTAGATGATCCCTAAAATTAACCATGTAATTATGTTGTTGCCGACCACTCATTTTAGATGTTTCTGCTTCCTGTGCATGCATACCATGTTGTTGTCCCTGTTGCCCTTCTTGTTCTCCCTCAATATCTTCTACGGGCAAATCGAACTTATATTTGGGTGGCGCCAAGAATTGGTTATCTGGATCTCTTATAGTCTCAGTTAACACTCTGGAATCAGCAGCTGATCCTTCCCATCCGGAATTGACATAAGTGAATAGCATATCAAAACTACACGCTGCCATTACATTTTGAGTACACGAATGTCTTCTTCCTCTGTAGACTGTCTGTTGATGTGCAGGTGGGACAACCATCATGTGTGTACCGTCTATTGGACCAATACAATCTTATTAAAATACATAAGGCGTGAGTTAGGATTAATTTAAAAGTATTTGTCATATTAGTAGTTTATGAGCAGAGTGAGATTGTACCTTAAATCATGGCCAGTACTTAGGGTTGTGTTGAATCTCTGGGGGACAATGTTTATATTTGGTAGTTTCATAACTTCAGGTGCTAACGCAGACAATGCGGTAAGCACATTATCAAAATGCCGGTGTACTGTCTCTCCAGAATGACAAAATCTATCTTGTATCTTTCTATTGCGATTTTAGTGGGCAACCGTTCTTAAGAACATCATTAGAGATTCTTCTGTTGAAATACTTGAAGAAGGCATTAGGTTGCGGCCTCGAATTAACTGAACAATTGCTTCAAACGTGTCTCGATGCATACGACACATTTCAAACAAATTTTCGGGATGTCCATGTAATTGTTCTAAAACATATTCTCGTCTTGTTAACGCAGAATTACGACGAGGTTGCCTAGTTCGTATGTTTCCAATCGACATCAATAATTGGATATAATGTTGTGGTTGTTCATCATCATCTGATGACTGGAGAAAGTCAACAGCTCTGGCATAATTCTCACTATTTGAATCCATATGAACCTAAAAAATGAACAAGACTGGAATTAATCAAACATCCATATAACATTAACTAATCAAACCAAGAACTCCAATGTAATTCAATCCGACTAGAAACAAATAACAAAGTGTAACAAACACAAGTCTGAGAGGAAAATCTATTGTACATGCTCAACAATACTTAAAAAAAAACATACGTCCGAGACAAAACAAATAAAGAAAACAACACAAAAATCATTTAAACTACAGGCTTCGAATCCATGAAAGATGACGATGAGCGGGTATTTTCACAAACATCCTCCTAAGGGAAATGTCAACAGCCAACTGGTGCGCTGTCTTACTATATGCATTGTCGTCTAAATACTCCTCATACCCATTCAGCAAATCCATACAGGTTTCAATACTTGTAGTTAGATCCTCTTTCTGAGCCTCAGCTAATGCCATAGTACGGGCTTGCCTATCAGTTAAATATTGCTGAAACAAATTAACCTTTTGAACAGATGTCTCACTATGTAGGGTAGCACTCTTTGCCAAAGCCTCTATAGCCTCATCAACGGCAGTATTCTTCTTGCCCTTCTTCTTGGATCGAGTAGTAGGACCCTGAGACCGTCCGTTTCTATTGGATTTTGCACCCCGGACTTCATCCGAGTCCCCTGTACCCTCCTCCTCCTCTTCCGGTTGTGTGGCAGCCCTTTTCGCCGCATTCAAAACATTAACGGCAGTACGTGCATTCATTGACTCCTGTCCAGTAGCAATAGTCCCAAAAAAATCTGTGAAAGTTGGGCAAAGTTCTACAAACCCCCTGTCTTGAATTTCTTAGCATCAGGATGTTTCTGACATTATAAAGTAAACAAGAGTCAATACTCATGTGCAATCCAAATACCAATTCAACTCTTTCATATAACATAAGATGTTTATGCTCAAAACTTACCGCCACATATGAATCCCATACTTCTTTTTCAGCCGTGACAGTGATAGCCTCAGAATTCCAACCAAACCCTGTTGTTTCAATTAATGCCCGAAACTCCCTCGTGCTACGTCTGCTATGAAATGCTTACCAAACATAAGTGCTATTTCATTACCAATTTTGATCCACGTTTTTCTGTCCAAAGTAGATGTTTGCAGCCCATTCTTTGACTCCTCATATATCAGTTCTACATAAAAATCCTCAATTGCAACTGGCCATTTTGTATTATCGTCCTTATCACACATCTAAAATAACACTTTCATCATTAAAATAAATCACAATTTTAAAGTATATAGACACACATACACACACACACACACACACACACACACACGCAGGGGCTGAATTAGCCCCAATGGTGGCCTCCCAGGGGCTGAATCAGCCCCAATATCAGCCTCTCAGGGGCTGATTCAGCCCCAGTGGAGGCGTCCAAGGGGCTGAGACAGCCCCAATGTGAGGCCACCATGGGCTGAATCAGCCCCAATGGGGGCCTCCCAGGGGCTGAATCAGCCCCAATATCAGCCTCCCAGGGGCTGATTCAGCCCCAGTGGAGGCGTCCCAGGGGCTGATAAAGCCCCAATGTGAGGCCCCTAGGGGCTGAATCAACCCTAATGGGGGCCTCCCAGGGGCTGATACAGCCCTAATATCAGCCTCCAGGGGCTGAATCAGCCCTAATGGGAGGCTCCCAGGGGCTGATATAGTCCCAATGTTAGGCCCCCAGGGGCTGAATCAGCCCCAATGGGGGCCTCCCAGGGGCTGATACAGTCCCAATATCAGCCTTCAGGGGCTGAATCAGCTCCAATGGGAGGCTCCCAGGGGCTGACCCAGCCCCAATTGGGGCCTCCCAGGGGCTGAATCAGCCCCAATATCAGCCTCCCAGGGGCTGATTCAGCCCCAATATCAGCCTCCAGGGGCTGAATCAGCCCCAATGGAAGGCTCCCAGGGTCTGATACAGCCCCAATGTGAGGCCCCCCAGGGGCTGAATCAGCCCCAATGGGGGCCTCCCAGGGGCTGATACAGCCCCAATATCAGCCTCCAGGGGCTGAATCAGCCCCAATGGGAGGCTCCCAGGGGCTGATACAACCCCAATGTGAGGCCCCCAGGGGCTGAATAAGCCCCAATGGGGGCCTCCCAGGGGCTGAATCGGCCCCAATAAGCCTCCCAGGGGCTGATTCAGCCCCAATGGAGGCGTCCCCGGGGCTGATACAGCCCCAATATCAGCCTCCAGGGGCTTAATCAGCCCCAATGGGAGGCTCCCATGGGCTGAATCAGCCCCAATTAGGGCCTCCCAGGGGCTGAATCAGCCCCAATATCAGCCTCCCAGGGGCTGATTCAGCCCAGTGGAGGCATCCCAGGGGCTGATATAGGCCCAATATCAGCCTCCAGGGGCTGAATCAGCCCCAATGGGAGGCTCCCAGGGGCTGATACAGCCCCAATGTGAGGCCCCCCAGGGGGGCTGATACAGCCCCAATATCAGCCTCCAGGGGCGGAATCAGCCCCAATGGAAGGCTCCCAGGGGTTGATACAGCCTCAATGTGAGGCCCCCAGGGGCTGAATCAGCCCCAATGGGGGCCTCCCAGGGGCTGAATCAGCCCCAATATCAGCCTCCAGGGGCTGATTCAGCCCCTGGGAAGCCCCCTTTGTGGCTAATTCAGCCTCCCAAGGGCTGATTCAGCCCCAGTGGAGGTGTCCCAGGGGCTGATACAGCCCCAATGTGAGGCCCCCAGGGGCTGAATCAGTCCGAATGGGGGCCTGCCAAGGGTTGATATAGCCCCAATATCAGCCTCCAGGGGCTGAATCAGCCCCAATGGGAGGCTCCCAGGGGCTGATACAGCCCCAATGTGAGGCCCCAGGGGCTGAATTAGCCCCAATGGGGGCCTCCCAGGGGCTTATATAGCCCTAATATCAGCCTCCAGGGGCTGAATCAGCCGCAATGGGAGGCTCCCAGGGGCTAATACAGCCCCAATGTGAGGCCCCCAGGGGCTGATTCAGCCCCAATGGGGGCCTCCCAGGGGCTGATACAGCCCCAATATCAGCCTCCAGGGGCTGAATCAGCCCCAATGGGAGGCTCCCAGGGGAAAAAAAACACGGAAAAAAAATCACCAAATCAGATAAAAAACATATCAAAAAATTAGAAAAAATATTCAACCAAATCAAACGGAAAACATATCAACTGATTTGGTTGAGTATATATCAAATAAAAAACATATCAAAAAAAGCCATAAAAAAAAAACAAATCAGAAAAAATGCTCAACCAAATCAAACGGAAAACCATCAAACGTTTTTGTCTGGGGGCATACCTCGGTGAGAACAGGGCGAGACGAGAATAGAGGAGGTCGGGTGAGAAGCAAACGGCACAAGTCAGGCGAGAAGGAAACCGGAGAAAACGAATCGGGCGA